TATATATATATATATATATACACACACACACACACACACACACACACACACACACGCACCCTTTACAGTTCAGTTATTGGAAATGCCCATATTTTATAAGTGTATAAGTAAAATGTACAATTTGTAATTCTTTTACAATTTCTAGGTGTCCTCCCCTCCTTTTCCTCCCTTTCTCTTCATCTTTGACCTTGCCTTGAGACATTGTATAAGGCACAAATATACTTTATCATGACTAAACTATTGTTTTCAAATACAAAAAATTGTGAAAATGTGTATATGCAGTCACAATGTTGTTTACCCACGTCCACTTAAGACCAATGTGGATTTTTCCATTTTTCTGCTACAGATTGAGGACATGCATTGGTATGGTGGACAGCCTGACATTCCATCATCCGTGTGCAGCCTTCCCTGCCAACCTGGAGAGAGGAAGAAGATGGTAAAGGGGGTGTCATGTTGCTGGCACTGTGAACTGTGTGATGGGTACCAGTTCCAGCTTGATGACTTTAACTGCCAAGCTTGTCCCTTTGACATGCGGCCCAACATCAACCGAACTGCCTGCCGTCCGACACCAATTGTAAAACTGGAGTGGCATTCAGCATGGGCCGTACTGCCACTCTTTTTGTCAATCCTGGGTATACTCAGTACCCTCTTTGTGGTCGGCACCCTAATGCGTTTTAATGATACTCCAATTGTACGAGCCTCTGGTCGTGAACTAAGTTATGTTTTGCTCACTGGACTCTTTTTAATGTATGCCATTACCTTCCTTATGATGGCAGAACCCGGAGTGGCAGTTTGTGCTCTTCGACGGCTTTTCCTTGGTCTTGGCATGTGTATTTCCTATGCCGCCCTCCTGACTAAAACCAACAGGATCTACCGCATCTTTGAGCAGGGAAAGCGCTCAGTGACTCCTCCTCGTTTCATTAGTCCAGCTTCTCAGTTGGTCCTCACCTTCAGCCTAATTTCTGTACAGCTGCTTGGCACAGCCATCTGGCTGGCAGTGCTGCCTCCACACAGCGTCATTGACTATGAGGAACAGCGAACACCCAACCCCGAGCTAGCTAGAGGGGTGCTGAAATGTGACCTGTCTGATTTGTCCTTAGTCAGCTGCTTAATGTACTCCATCCTTCTCATGGTCACCTGCACTGTATATGCAGTGAAGGCCCGTGGAGTGCCTGAAAACTTCAATGAGGCCAAACCAATCGGTTTCACTATGTACACAACTTGTATTGTCTGGCTGGCCTTTGTACCCATTTTCTTTGGTACTGCACAGTCTGCTGAGAAGGTGAAGAGAATTACCTGGACTTCACAATTTTTTTTTTGCACTCATTCCTGCCAACAACTCATTTTGAATGTCATCATGTCACATGACCACTACAGTTAATGCTTGTGCTCATTAATCTGTGTTCTGTGGAAAACCCCTTGTTTCAAATCCATCTTCATTCTGCAGGTCATTTCAATTTCATGAGCATTATCCAGTGTGTTTCCATTGATTGGAGTCATTTCACAGTCCCCGTTGTCCTACATTCAGCAGCGAAGTCAAATTGTCTTCTTTTACCTCGCCCACTTAGATCTATATCCAGACCACCACCTTGACAGTATCGATGAGCCTGAGTGCTTCTGTCTCCCTTGGAATGCTCTACGTGCCCAAGGTTTACATCATACTCCTCCACCCTGAGCAAAATGTGCAGAAGCGCAAGCGAAGCTTCAAAGCTGTAGCGACAGCGGCCACCATGTCCACCCGTCTATCCCAGAAAAACAGCGAGCGTCAAAACGGGGAAAGCAAACCGCCTGAGAAGAGCATGCCGGAGAGCAAGTGATTAGATCAAAGGTATTTATAGACTTAACGTAGTCTTAGTCTTTTTATCTGTAGTAGACCAGAGATGCTCAGCCTTGGAACCCATACATATCAGTTTGCTCTTGCTTTGGGACTCCAAAAAGTCATGGCTTCTGACAGGCCAAGCAAAAAATAAATGTTGCATGTAATACTTGTGGAAAAATAATCATAAGACACTATTAAGACTGAAATAAAATTATTTGTATAAATATTAGTAGGCCAGACCTATGCTCATAAGGGAATCTGAATCATATTCTGATAGAGCCAGGCAGACTGTCACTTACTAGCTTCCTACATCTATTGCAGATGCTTGCCTTACAAAAAGACAGCTTAAATTTGATTGGTTGATGCAGCAGGGCTGACCCCTTTCCTGCAGTTTGTATTTCGTTTTCTGTCAATATATTGAAGATGACTGTGGAATTCAGTGCTCAGAGCAGTTTCCTATCCACAGATATTTACCCAGCATTTCATAACTCACCATCAATATCCCATAGCATTCAGTGCCTTTGATGCAGGAGGATGTGGCAGATGTTCTGCACACCCAGATGCAGACAGTGGAAACAGCGGGGCTTTGTGCACACTGAGATTTTGTTCATAGACTACATGAATGTAGCCTGGACGGTAAAACTCCGTTAGGATAATGGCTCTCTATGTTGCAATGCACACTGAATTTTGGATAAAGTGGGGAAGGGTAGGGAATTGTCAGATTTGTATTGCTACCTTTGTCTCTGTTGGATTGGTTTCCCCTCTATTCTTGTCCCTTACCACACAAAAGAAATTGATCAACTGCCAATGCTTCATGCCTCCGGTGTCCTTCAGTTCACAATATGTGTTTTTAGTGCACACACTTGTATGCAGTACTCCAATGGGGATGCAGGCACAAGAGGGAATAAATGCAGTAGTTTAGCAGCTGCAATGTGAATGGTGTGGACATACCCAAACTTAATAAAACAGAGAAACAGAACATTGGCCGTACCACTAGTGCATTAAATATGCATAGCCAGGAGCAAATATTCTACATATATTGCACTCACAAGTGGCCAAAGTTATTTTTATGATGACATGCTGTTAAGTTTGGTCACTTGTGAGTGCAATATACAGTATGTATAATATTTGCTTTTGGCTATGCATATTTAATGCGCTAATGGTGCGCCCAATGTTTAGTTTTTTAGTTCTAACCCTTCCCAGTACCATATAAAACAAACAGAAAAAAGCTTTGGCTGGACCTATTTGCAATTCTCTTTCATGCTGGTTTGATCTCCTAAACTGATCTCTTTAACCAGACATTAGAATACAGGTTTCTATTCCTGCAGTGCTTAAAGTGACATTAAAGTTAAAAAAAAAATCCCTCCCCCAATGTTAATGTTAGCACTTACCTTAAATGATGTCTCCTAATCCGATCTTCTTCTTCTTTCCTCATGTTTTCATCTGTCCCTCCAGCGGTGTGGCGGCTCTCCGATCCAGCGCTGACTCCTCTCTGCTTGCAGGCACTTCCGATCCAGCGGTGTCTGCATGCGGGTGCATGCGTCCATAGACTTACCTTGCGTCTCTCCTCGTCTCCCGACTGAAAATCCGAACTGCGCATGCGCCCACCCCAAGATGCTTTGCGGCCACCCGAGAGGTTTCGGATTTTCTGACGGGAGCGCGTGGCGAAGACGGGGTAAGTTTAAACCGCTATTACTTTTTGCATATATCTACTGCTTGCTAGCAGTAGATATATGCAAAAAAAACCGGAGGGTTTAGAAACCCTTTAAGGACCTATTTACACCTGTCTGTTCTCTTGCAGTGAAACACATTAATTTTACTGCATGAAAACGCATTGCAAGTAGAAATCCAGTTCTTACCTTGTGTGACTGGTTTACATTTATGTGCTGTTTTTTAAAAGGAAACTGTAATGGCCCATATGAATTTTACTTTATGAAAATTCAGGTAAAAATATTAGTCTTTCCTGTGTAGCTGGTTCACATGATGTTTAGCCTGTTGTAGGGCTAGTTCACACCAGATGCAGTTGTGATGCAGACTGTTCAGTCTGCCAGCTGCATCAAAATCACGTCACAATGCTTTCCAATGGGATTTCTGGTGGTCGGTTTATACCAATCAGTTCCAATGCACTCCTGCATGCTACATTTTAGCGGTACCTGATCGCTAACTCATCGCGGAACTCATCAAAAACGCATGCAAAAGCACTGCACCTGAAAGCCCATTTTAAGCTTAAAAAAAGAAAAAGCTTCAAAATCGCGGTAAAAACACGGCAAAGCACTCTGCCGCTGCACAGACGCACGCAGTTCTGATGCAGTTATGGTGTGAACTAGCCCTTAAAGTGGAAACTACAATATCAGGGCCCATTTACCCATACACATGTGCATTACCAACACAGGTGTGGAAGAGTCCTTAGTTCCTTACATGTATAATTGTTTGAGGGATGAGTGGCCCACAAACAGTGTTCTTTTCTTAAAAAGTAGATGCAATTTTTTACTTTACAATCTTTTACTAGATTTCAGATTCATGTTGCTTAGAGGAGTTCTTATTTAACAGAATATTTTTCTTTAGCTTGTGGCATAAGACTTTACACCAAGACTCTGAATAAAATAGTCAAACTGGACCCTGTTGCTGCAAGGGTTAAAGGCAATACAAGTCACCTCTCCCTGAAATGGGATAACAATACACCAAACTGTATGCAAAAAGCTTTTTATAAGAGACTCTAAAACGAGTGTGCTAGTGGCAATAACCTTCATGTTCTGTGGGCAGAAGAGAGACTGTCCTAGATTCATCTCCATTGTGTGAATTTGCAATGTTCTGCATTTGATTCCAAACCCGGAAAGTGGGTGAAGTTTATGTAGAAAATCCTAATGAAACTATTTTTGAAAGCTTGAGCATCTAATACCCCCTGAATTTACAGTACATACGTCGATGAATCATTCAACTGTTTTATAGAGCACATTCATCATCATTGTTCTTCTATATCTCCTGCCTTTCAAAAGAGAGTTGCCACATGCTAGCATCTGAACTCGTTTTTGTTTTCATATTAAATGGTAATATTCACCATATTATATTAGCTGAAAAGCTTCTGGTAAAAAAAACAGCTCTATTTCAAAGGATACAGTCACAGAAATCATTTCTTATTAGGCTGTGTAGCAAATGTAGCTGCATTTATTCAGAAAGAGATATGACTCCAAAGTCATTGATACTAGTCCCAATATCACATGGAAGAAATAGTGAGGCACCGAAAATAGACACTTCATTTAAGGGGACCAGGTCCAGACTCCTTCCCCAGTCTCTATCCTAGACTGCTGCTTCCAGATCCCGCGACCCTCCTGTTCCGCCATTGGGCGGCCACTGATGATGTAATCCTGTGCATGCGCCATGCAGTTTACCTAGAAGATTAAAAAACTGCTACGATCCAGAGGCAAAGGTTTTCTCTTCTGCCAAAAACCTCTAACCAGTAGTTTTTTATTGCAGGACTTTAGTTCCTCTTTAAAGGGTTTGTATGATAAAAAGTTATTTCTTTCTAGTTTTGGATAGAGTAGGGAAGAGTTAATATCAGGGATGCACCGATACTAGTATCGGTGCCGATACAGAGTATTTGGGCGAGTACTCGCCCAAATGCTCCAATATCGGAAGTGCTGGGGGAGCTGATTATTGGCTAGGAAGTCGGCTTTATGTGTTGCTATGCAACCTGGCTTCCTAATCATTCAGTTATTATGTTATTTTTTGTTGTCTGTGTTCCATCAGGTAGATTTCCCTTCACTTCCTGTCCTGGAGATGCCACAGGAATTGAGAGGCAATCTCTACAAAGCTCCCAGTGAAGATGCTCCTCATCTCTAATTCTGGTGACAACTGTAAAATGTTGGATTGTCCATCACTTTCACCCAGTCACCAGGACAATTAGAGAGGATGTCTCTACATTGCTGGGACACATGTAGCAATAAAAACCTGACACGGATTTGAATATTTCTGTACTCTGTCAATAACTGAAAAAAATGTTTTTGCAATACATACATTTTAGGTGTAAACCATAATAATTTACATTAGCTGATTGCCCGCAATCACTGTTTGACCAAACATTTTGGGCCCAACTCCTTCGAGCCGGCAGGTCCACCCACTGTTAGAATTTCATCCGATTCACAAGAATCTTACAGTGTATGGGCAGCCTTAGTGCTCTGGCAGGCTTCAGCAATGACATCAGTGGCTACGTGGAGACTAGTATAGTGAGCTCATTATAATGGAAAGTGTTCTTTAATGCCCGCTGCTTGCAGGTCTGGCTGTCAGTCGAAGATCTGCTGTGGGGGATCTTCTTTTGAGAGTGCACATTTACATTTAATCGTTTATATTTGAATAAAATATTCTTGAATTATGCACAGTGTCACTGTGCGTTGTGTGATCATTGAATAGGTACGCTAGTTTACATTCGCCTTTCTGAATAGGGAAATTTGGTGATTTCTTATAGAAACCCACATCGGTCTTCTGGTGAGCTCAGATTTGCCAAACATTCGTTGCACATTTCTCTATTGCCATTCTCCGGCCAGCAAATGTGCAGTGAATACTGTAAATCCAGGTACACAAGGGTTTTCTAACGTCACCCTGCCTGTTCATGGAAATGGAGCTGCGATTAGTTATTTCAGTCTTTTGTCATAAATCTGTGTAATTTGACTAATTAGATACAAAATCCCATTTTAGTCCCACGTGGCATACACATTTTTACAAAGACCACATTCAGGCTTTTGCTGGTCTTCAAGAGTATGGGAAAATTCCGACTTCATAAGCGCTCTCTAACCAGTCGCCTAGCAACCACAGCTTCTATACTACAAATGTCTCAACAAGATGGTCCCACTCCTGCTCACTACCTGTAGCAGGGGAAATAGTATGAAAACACTTCACAGCCCTCTCTACACTCTGAAAAATATTTGAAGTAGAAGTGGAAATCATGTCTGAGATCAAGGGAAAATGATTGAACACCTGTGAGAACAGGGAAGGCTTATGTGACCTTTGTCATTGGAGATGACATTCTTTTGCTGTCCCTCTAGACACTCATGTGATCTGTTTTAGGATCTAGAATATTTTAGTGTATTCTCAGTGAGTATATATTTTGATTTATTATTGTAAAGTTTAAAGGGAAGTCGTTTTTGATGTAACTGCCTCATCTTTATCTGCTTTCAATGATCACTTAATGCAACCCCGTCACTTATCTAAAAAAAATGCCACCAGTAGCCCCCTGTAATAGAAGAAGCTGAATACTTACTTCTCCAACGGGTGGCTAGTGAAATATTTGATATCTTGAACCAGGTGTAGCAATACTATCGTTCCATCCCCACCCCCCAACCTGCTGCGGTGCTTCCATAGCAAAGATTTAACTCAACATCTCCGGAAAATAAGTATTCAGCTGTTTTCTATTACAAGTGATTGCTTCCTGGAACTTTTAGAAAAGGAATTTTACGTAACAAGGTCAATTTAAAGAATATCTCCAACCAAAACTTTTTTTTGCCAATTTTAGAGTATGGAGGGGTTAGAACATCTGTCAGTTTTACAGCTCCCTGTGGCCCTATTGTGGAGACTTTTCTTCCGTTCCTGTTCTAGTACAAAAGTGTTACCAGGACAGGAAGTGATGAAAAAATCTTGAAGAGGAAGACTGAAGCAATGAAAGCACTCCTCTTAATAGAGAAGGGGAGGGCTGGAAACCTACATTTATTGCTGCCTGTGTCCCCATTGGAGAGTTTCCTTCACTTACTGTTTGGGCTAAATGAGTGAAAAAGCCCTTTCTCTGTGTGGGGTATCAGTGGTCTCTCTGCAGAGGTTCAATACACCCCTGACTAAGTTAGAGTTAAGGTGCCCATACACCTTACGACCATCGCAAGACTTTTGTCTTGCGATGGTCGTATGCTTATTGAAAGCTTGTACGATCTGCCCACCTTGGACGGGCAGATCGTACTTGCGATCATCGAAAGCCCGCCCCGCTGAGGGGCGGGCTTCCGATGACCGCAATGCAGAACGGGCAGTGTGCGCGTGCGCACACCGGCCCGTTCCGCAGCTATCGGACGAGCAGGCTAGAACCCCGCCGACAATCGTACAATTCTCGGCGGGTTTTCGAGCATGTTGGTTCGACAATAGACGTGTGACCGTACAGTAGAAACGGTCGCACGCCTTCCATACACTGTACGATTCTCGTACGATCGCGGGATTTTGGGCACCTTTAGACCTGTCCAATGAGCACGGAGGGAGCATGAGCTTTGGTGATTGCAGAGCTATAAGTCTGACTCAGCACGGGGCATGTCAGACCTGTGCAGAGACATCACCGTTTCCACACAGAGAGCAAGGGTGCTTTCTTTGCAGCTGGTGGTGGTAGTGGACAGGCTTTTCTGCTGCTGTGACTGAAAAAGAAAAAAAGAAGAAAACTAACTGTAAGGCTTTCACATCTTTTGTTGTGATGCACCTGGAATATATGTCCAGTTTCCTGGCTTTAATACTTGCTTAACACCACAAAGCCCATACTTGCCCTGTTGTTGCCAAATGTATTGGACAATCCTTCACTGGTATAAGTGTTAAAACCACCCAATTGTGTGTCAAATCAATTACTGCTTGGTTCTTGGGACTAAAACCAGCTGATTTTCACATATATTTGAATAAACATAAATTGAAAACAAATTGAAATAAACTATGAAGTTGATAAAAGTAGAGATTTGATGACATTGATACTGTATCTCCACCAACAGGTTTGATGGGTCATGCACCTCTGGTTGTTTTGCAAACGATTTTACACTACAGGAAGTCCCTGGGCTGCACTACAGGAAGAACGTCAGCATGTTTGTTCTTCACCGAGGCATATTGGAAGAGCACAACAGGGGTATTTGTCAACATAACACAATGCACAATAAACTTAAAAACTCATCTGAGACTACCTTACCTGGCTGCTTTCTCAATAGAGTTGTTCAAAGAACATTGTAACTCTTGACTGACAGAAGTTTCTTGTCAGAATCCTGCATGGCAGGTACACTACTTAACCCTGCTCTTGTCAAGATTTGGCACCCTCATTTATTCTGCCACAGTTAAACATGATTCATCATTTTACCTCTCGGATTCCATATTGTACCACCAACACATTCTGTTTTTACCATTATTGCAAAGTCCAGTGGATATTATTTTGTGTAAACCATCTTTCACCCCCTTATCTGACAGAATCCTCTGCATCATCTACCCAATCTATTGCATGAACACAGTGGGTCTAAGAATGATGTCCATCATCTTTTACCTTGACAGAATTTGTTTTTTATCCCCTAACCAGCATCATCTATTCTCCTTACACAGAAAGATCTGCAAAGCAACTGAAAAAACATTATCTAGCACCATCCCTGAAATATAATGTCAACCCTTCATCTTCCTGATACTTCCAGCACTACCTAACCCTTCCCAGGACTGTGGTAGATCCTCAAGCTTCCTTCACAGCACAGTCAGGGCTAGCATCACTATAACTAAGTGAATTGTGCCCATCAGAACTTCTGGTATTTTCTTATTCTGCCTATACACCATCATTTAACTCTTCTCCTGACAGATTAATGCATTCTCCTCAAACCACACTCTTGGGAGACTCATGCACAACATTACTTTCCTCTTTTACTGAGTGAATTATGCACAGCAGAACTTAACCTATTTGGTGCTATTTTATCGCCTTTAGAACCACATAGATCAACACTTACCCTTGCACCACTGCATGCTTTTATTTGTTTACCTCCAAAGCAGGGGTTCACATAATTTCTCTCTTTCACTACCATGTGCTAGGCTGCTTTAAGATACAAGTGGTTCCCCACTCCAACTGTTATATAAAATTTAGCCTTTACAATGTAAGCATATTGCTAAAATCCTTATAAGGGTATCTAACCTCGATTGTTTAAGATGTATCTTAGGTTTGTGCGTGGACTCACAGAAATGTTGGTGTTGGATAAGTTTATGAATGGCTTAATAAAGAGGGGTTAAAGAATATACTGGGAGGATTTATCAAAACTGGAGCAGACAGAATCTGAAGCAGTTGCTCATAGTAACCAATCAGCTTCTCTCTTCAATTTGTTCAGTCTTCTCCAGTTTTGATAACTTCCACTCTCTGTATATAAGCAGAATGTTTTTCTTTTTTCGTTCATTCTCGTTTCTCGTTCTTTAATGCACATAGGGTTCAATTATTCAGAGACAATTGTACTGCCACCTTCAGGAGGAGTTGAACACTGGCAAAGAAAAAGCCACTGGCCAGCTAGTTATCCCCCCCCCATCATTCTTCAGGTTTTTACTAGTGTTCTAGGAGGATGGACATCTTTTCTCTTTTGATAAAAAGGTTTACCATTTTTACTTGTAATTTTCTCTCATAAGCTTTTTCGAGGCAGTTCCGCTCTAGAACCCTGTGAAACAAAATTCTCTGGTATAAAGTGGTTAAGTGCACTGGCTTGGAGGCTCATGAATCCAGCCTTGGAGTTGTGAAAATCATTCCACTCGCTGTCATGGAAAATCATCACAATGGATTCCAGCCTGAAAGGCCTAGATACCCTGTCAGTGCAGGAGACTTGGTCCACAGAGGAATCTCATCTCTTGATCTACATTCAGGAACTCCAAGCAATTTGTTTGCCCCTGCTGTGCACAACACCTCGACTGGAAGGTCATCCGATCGGGATCCAATCGGACAACGCTACAGGATGCAGAAGTTTTGCCGCAGCAAGAAAGGTAGAAGGGAAGCCTGGGCAGAAATCCACATTCCAACATTGTCTGTGAACAATTGACAGGCAGGTCACCTCAGCCGGCAGCACCAGGACCCAAGGGAATAGTCCCTACATCCGTTTTAGGACCTGTACCACAGGTGGGGGATGCTGGATGTGGCATTCATGTTCGTCAACAAATTGGAAAGGTTTGTCTCCTAATGCAGAGATTCTATGGTGAAAGCAATGGATACTCTGGTGATTCCGCAGGATCGGTGCACATTGATCTACACCTATCCTCCTCTGAAACTACTACTTTGTCTCATCCTAACTGGCCCAGGCAGATGTGGTAGTCTTCTTTCTGAAGGACCAGTTTACCACCCTGTTTCACAGTCACTGGCTTTAATGGCATTGCTGTTGAAGCCAAGGTTCTGAGAGATTTACTAATTCCCACACTGTTAAAAATGAGTCTGTCTCCTATAAGGTCTACTATCGCACATGTAAAACGTTTTAAGCTTGGTGCTAGGAAATAAAATTTCACCTAAGGAAATACTCCATAGCAAAAATCTTAACTTTTCTGCTGTCAGGTCTGGATCAGTATTTGGACTTCACTACCATTAAGGGGCAGAAATTGCAGCCCTTGTGATCTTACTACCAAAACCACTAGCCTTTAATTAGCCTTTAGCAAATGTGTTTCTCATGTAGTTGCTCCAGTACAACCTTGTGTGGTTCCCAGGGATTTAAGTTTTGTACTGTCAGCACTTCAGGGACCACATTTTAACCCACTAGGGATATTCCCCTTTCACTCACAAGATTGCCTTTTTTGTTGCCATCATCTCGACGAGGTGTATTTCTGAGCTTTCAGCCTTGTCCTGTAGAGAAGCCCTTTTTTGTCCTTCACATAGACAAGTTGGTATTGAGGCCTAGCACCTACTTCCTTCCTAAGGTGGCTTCAGTCTTTCACCTCAACCAGGACATTGTTCTTCTGTCTCTCAGTCTGGCTATAGTACATCAAAAGGAGATTTCCCTTCACTGCCCGGATGTAGTTTGTCCTGTGCAATTTTACCTCTCTGCCACGGCTTCCATTAGAAAGACTGACTCTCTTTTTGTCATTTCTGATGGTCCCAATAAATGGGAACCAGCTTCTCATTCCACCATTTCTTGGTGGCGCAGGCAGATCGTTGTTCAGAATTATATTCTTAAGGACAAGGTTCCTCCTTTTCCTGTCAAAGCACACGCTACTAGATCTATGAGTGCTTCTTGGACTTGTAAGCACCAGGCAGTTGTTTCCTAGATTTGCAAGGCTGCCACCTGGTCTTCTGTTCACACATTGTCTACGTTTTAACAGGTGGATGTTCAGGCAGCTCTTTTATCTGCAGACTGCCCCCAGTTTTACTGTTTTTGTTATGGGGTCCTGTTAGAGTTTTGTTACTGTTCCCGCCACTGAGTTGAATTGCTTTTAGACATCCCAATTGTCTCTGAATTATTTAATCATGCGTCCTTAATGATTTTTGTTTTTACTATAAAATCCAATAGGGGACACAGGTCACACCCTCTGTGTTTGTTATCTACACCTAATACTGCCTTTTTACAAAACTGAAGCATGATGGGAGTGGGAGGGGTTTTACCTCGCCTGGCAAGGGACTTTTGTGTTTGTCGGTGTCCAATTCCCTCTGAAGGTGGCAGTATAACTCAATTGTCAATGAATAATTGAATCCTGGGTCCCTTAATGAACTCCAAGAAACAGAATTTACGGTAAGTTAAGAATCCTATTTGTGTTGTCCACTGTTCCTCTTTAAAAGATATAGGTAGGGATAAAATATTTTAAAGTTGCTGTTGACGACTTATTTTTTAGGCTTTGGACTATCATTCTTTGCCTGGCTTCACTATTTCACTGACCCGATCAAATGTGCACATCAGGTGTCTCAACACTTAACTGGCTGCACACTTGTAACAGGTAAGTGACTTAGTAAGTAGTAAACAAATGATGAGGATGATGGCCCTGGAATCTGCATCTTTTTTGGGTACATTTATTTTAGGGTTTTCAGAAGTGCATGAGAACATTGAATTCAGAATGATGCATGTGTCAAAGGAAGCAATTATATAAGTACAGCATTCATTGTTCAGTTTGTGGCCATATTCATGCCGCAAAGTTGTCACCGCAAACCACTTCTGACAAAGACATCATGCTATCATGGTACCTAAGTTGGAAACAGGTACTGTGAGTGGGAAAAGTATAGAAGAAGAAGGGTTTGCGGTGAAGCAAATATAGGTTTTGATAAATAACGTGGAAACTTACCTCATAGATGACTGGCCAGACGAGGTAAACTCAGCATGTCCTAGAGGTTATTTGATATTAGCTAAGTTCCTAGTGGGTATATAACGGTTAAATCAGTCCAACATGGTCCTTTCCTGTAAAGTATGTTGAAGCTGGCTCACATTAGAGTTTAGCTCAGTCATGGGCTGGCTAGTTTTTAGGAAGCCCTCATAGCTTTCATGGTGGGGAAACACAACTCCCCTGACTAGGTGTGTAAAATGGTCTATTTAATCTGCCACACCAGGCGCTCCATGTTCATCAAGTTGTTCATAGTTGCTGCCCAGAGATGGCACATCATCTTCATATAGTATTGTGTGCTACAATCAGGCAGTGTCTGAGTATATCCTTTTGAATGCACTTTAAGGACCTGGCATCATGGTCAGCAAAGCTATTTTAGGTGATGATGTTATCAGATTGCATTTTACAATAGGGAAAAACCCTTTTCCTAAATGTTTGCAATGTACTGCAACACCATTATATCCGGAGTTGGGTTCCAGGCTGTTGCAAGGAACTCCACTGTGTGTCATAGAAAGGGGAGCACTAGCGCCATGAGGTGGCAGGAAGCCTGCATATTTAAAATAGACCTTTCAAAAACCTTACAAATCTGTATGAATAGGTTCTGTGTCACGCAGAAGGAAGCATTCCCTAAGTTTTCCTTTCTCTAAGGTGTTGTAAGCTTGTAGGGAGTTGCAAGGTGAGAGGCTGCAGAAGGGGCTGATCTGACCTTTGTGAATGAAGCCATAACTACACAGTCAACAGAATTGACTTGATTTTGTCATCTTTAAGCCATCAGTATAGTCCAGGAAGAGGATTCTGATCCAAGATGATGCCTGAACAAAGATGGCTTCATTCTTACGGAGAAAAGCACATAACAGATTTGCCAGAGGGAGTACTGTGATCTCTGAGAGATAATAATTATCCATAAGTGTATTATTTAGCTTGCATATAACGAATGTGAAAAATATATCTGATGCTAACTAGGTCCACTTTAAAAACAAGTCAGCAGTGGCAGTTCCTATATTTCTGATCTGATAGATTATCTGTCAGGTCATGTCAATAAACTA